TACAAAATAATTATAGGACTGTACTAAGTGACAATCACATATCTGGTTTATGAATCACTTTTCTTGTTTAGTATACTTTAAATAGTGGAGTGAATGTCACAGAGGCGTTGACCAGGCAGAACCAGTCACAGACTGAAGTACAAAAGACTGACTCAGCAGCTAAGGTTTATCTGTATAAGTAGGTTGTGTTATATAAAAAGGGATTCATTGAAATATAAAAGAGACACAGCCACTTATACACACACAAGGAATGGCACTCTGCCCTCATTTAATCACGAGATCCACCTGGTAGCACGTTCTTGTCACAGAGGCAACATTAGCTGGCACTGACACGTAATTTAATATTACATTTGAAATGATTTCACAGCTAACACACCAATATCTCAATACCACACTGAAAACTGTCAGCTCATGGAGGTCTTATGGTGTTTAGAGAGCCTCTCTCAAAGAAGATAAAGGGGTCAATTCACAACGCTTTTTTTCCCTGATTTTGCTGTTATTGAATAGATATTGCATGATATTTAAGCTTGTGCAATTGACCAATTAACATCTCTGAAGTAATATTTTATCATGAAACTCGTTATTTAACGTTGCAATCCTTATTTTAACAAGCCTAATCGTTAAAGGAGAACTATGAGGCGAGTGCTTTTCACTCACCTCATAGTAGGGCTGCAACAACTAATCGACATAATCGATTATAATCGATGATTGAAAAAGTTGTCAACTTTTTCAATTATTTCAGTATACCTGAGTATATACTGAGCTTAGGGTAACGGGAGGACGCTAGTTTGTGTCCTCCCGTTACCCTAAGGAGAACTATGGGGAAAAACACTGACCCCATAGTTCTCCTTTAAATATGTACAGAAATGCAATTCACAAAGATTTTTCGGCCATTTATCGACTGTTAGACAATCGTTACATAAGCACTTCCTTCAGAGTGTCGTTATTTTCTGCTCTGAGACAGATTTGTGAGGTGAAATTATAACTTCTGGTAGTGGAGTCTCTTTTTTGCGGCAGAGGGACCTTTCCACACCAAGAAACTTGTATATCTATTAAAAGGAGAACTATGAGATGAGTGATTTCCACTCACCTCATAGTTCTATCATCATTTAACGTGTCAGAGTTCCTATGTCATTAAATGTCCTTGTAGGTTATATTACATTTGGGAAACAATGCAGAATTGAAAGGGCCGCATATAGCCAGACATAAATATGCGTTAAGGGACACAAAAAAAAGTGGATTGGCCACTGGTGAGACATTTTGTTGATTATAGCCATGCAGTGTGACAGTTAAGATTCACTCCCTAGGCCATGAAGAAGTGGCAATAAGGAGCAAATGTGTTAAGGAGCAAATGTGTTAAGGAGCAAATGTGTTAAGGAGCAAATGTGTTAAGGAGCAAATGTGTTAAGGAGCAAATGTGTTAAACTACACGGGTGGAGTGTGGAATGTGATGGGTGTCATTCTGATGTGCCTAACACAAGAGAAGAGATGTGGGAAACGTACGTGTTAAATTGTAACAAAGTATCAGATTACCACCTGTGTTTAAAAGAAAATGAGAGAAACACGTGTATGTTTATGCATCACTTTTGGACTTAAAGGAGAACTATGAGGTGAGTGCTTTTCTCTCACCTCATAGTTCTAGCCGACCTGCGACAATGAGACTGTCAAAGGTCGGCTCAGTAGATCGGGAAGTGAGTGAAAACATACCGGCGTTCACTCACTTCTCGATCCTGTCACTGCTCTCTGCGGTGACAGTGGAGGGGCTGGATTCCCCCTTCTCCACTCCGATCCTCCAGTCCTGACCGGCGGAACGTACGGAGGAGGGGGCGGGTACAGCTGGCTCTGCCTCTAGATAGGCAGAGCCAGCTGTCACTCACACAGCTGGGCAGATCCAGACATAATTGTCGGGATCCGCTTCAGCACCTCAGTATACCGCGAGCAGTGGCTCGCGTTATACTGCGGCGTCTCAGTATACCGTGAGCTGTAGCTCGCGGTATACTGAGCTTAGGGTGACGGGAGGATGCTAGTTTGTGTGCTCCCGTTACCCTAAGGAGAACTATGGGGAAAAGCCCTAACCCCATAGTTCTCCTTTAAGAAGTATGCGTGGTTCGAAACTGTTGCCGATACTGCATCATGTCATGATAATTTTGTAAGTGGACATTAACCACTTGCCGTCCGCCCGTTGTAAAAAAACGGACGGACGGTTTTTTATCATTTAATATAGGGGATTTTTCCTTAATATAGTAAAAAAATAAAACCCCCAGTGGTGATTAAATACCACCAAAAGAAAGCTCTATCTGTCCTCAAAAAAGGGTATAAAATTCATTTCAGTACAGCTTTACATGACGGAATAAATGTCAGTCAAAGTACCGCAGCGCTAAATACTGAAAAATGGCCTGGATGGGAAGGAGGTTTAACACCGCTGATGTTAACTGGTTAAACAAAAATAGATCAATCATGTTTTAATCGTTCTAATTATGTTTTATAATATGCGATATTAATAAATGAATTTATATATCTTTTATATTAAGAGAGTTATAGTATTTCTTAAAAGCCCCCTCCCTTTTCGGTATTTGCACACCCTAAAGTGGAATTTACTTCACATAGCTTTCAAGGATTCATAATAATTTTGGATTAACAAAGAAGATGGAGTGCTGCAACACCTGGACTTTTTTTTTTTTACTTTATACTGTACAAGGAATTGTAGACAGGTTCCTGTGTTGACGGCACCGCTTATAAAGAAGCTGGATTTATATATAATCTCAATCAATTAGGTGCTCTGCACTGCAGCTTCTTTAGAAGCGGTGCCGTCAACACAGGAACCCATCTACAATTCCTTATACAGTATATATTAAAAAAAAGTCCAGGTGTTGCAGCACTCATTCTTCTTTGTTGAAGTGTACATGTTTACAAAATTCAACCATACTCAAAAAAAAAATATATATATATATACGAGTAGAGTTGTATTTTGTAAACATGTAAACTTCAACAGTTTTAATAAAGTTGTTTACATACAACAGTGCAATCTGTTGAAATCCCATAATTTGTAGGCACTGTTCTCCCAGAATGCATTCAACGTATTTTAACACCTTAGGGGCTTGTACACACGATTTCCGGACCAGATCTGGAGTCTGCTGTGCTTGTTCCCATGGCTCTTCTCTCCCCTCACACTTCCTGTCACTTAGTAAGAGCCGTGCACATTGATTCAGGTCACATGCACATCTTTATTTGCATACAACTCCTATGAGGCCGAGAGGAATCGTCTCTCACTACACACTGCTGCCTTCACCCCCCAGTTGTGGCTGGAGAAAAATAAAATTGGATTTTGGAGCATTTAGAGCTGAACAATGACAAAATAAGGTACACAGTCATTGATTATATAGAATAAGTTATTTTTATGTTTTAATTTTTGAGTTTAGTGTCCCCTTAACTTCTTTCTGCTTAGAAAAAAAAACAAAAAAACGGTGTTCCCAAATATTTAAACAGCGGATATAAATCCAATACTTTTTTTATAGGGATGCACCGATACCGGGTTTTCAGTATCGCGTACCGATATTGTTTTTTCTGTAGTTGTCGATACTGAGTACCTATGCCATGTGCCCCGATTATCAGGAAGTCGGGCGGCAGATCATGACCCGTCACCCGGCTTCCTGATTGCCTGTGAAGCCGGTGTTCTAGCGAAAGAACATCCGCTTCACTTTCTGGAGGCTACCTGGCTTCCTGTCCAATCAGGGAGCTGGGCGGTGAGTCATGAGGTGCCATCTGGCTTCCTGATTGGTCAGGAAGCCAGGCTGCCTAGCAACAAGTGAAGCCAGCTTCCTAACCAATCAGGAAGCCAGGCGGGACATCATGACCCGCCTCCTAGCTTTCTGTTTGGGTAGGAAGCCATCTTCTGTTTGGGAAGGAACCCGGCTCCATGCTCCGTCGGCACTGCTGGTAAGAGGGAGATCCCCCTCTGACTGGAGGTTCCGGTATCGGAGCATTTGGGTGGGTACCAGTACCAATGCATCCCTACTTTTTTTTATAGTTTTAAATTGTGAGGGGAAAGGTTAGAACCCCGTCAGGTTCTTTCATTGCTGTTGGCAAGGGCCGCTATATTTGTCGTGGTGACCTGTGATATCAGGACTGAACATGTCGGCAATTCAAAATGTTACAAATGTCACCAGGACAGAAATTGAGTCTTCAATGGGGACACTTGTTTTGACAGATCCCCCAATTTGGAATCACTTCCTCTTCCTTTTGTGTCTCCAGAACAGGAAGTAAATCTCCCCCAGAAAAAGTAAAATAAAAAAAACAGACAAGATAAATCCCCAACAGATAAAGCCGTATGGTTTAGGGGTTAAAAATCCCTATTGGGCTCTTTTTTTGCCATCAGTGTCCTATAAAGGAGAGTTTGCTTAACTTCCTGTCCCATAAAGACAACAGGGTGCAAATGGAAAACTCTCTAAAGTGATGGAGCTGAACAATGACAAAGTGTCAATGACAATGACAAGTGTCTCCTTCGGAAGATTATACCTTCATTTTTTATTTCAGTGGCAAATTCAAAATATTTTACTTCCCCTTACTTTCAGTTCTGATGACAATGAGAACCAGGACAAATAGGGTGAATCTCCCCAAGAGGCACAAAGATAATAACCTGACAGGGGCTCTTAACCCTTACCCACTCTATCCAAAAAATTAAAACAAAAAAAGTCCTCAGTAGCTTTACATACTCAATGCAAGATTTCCGGGATATTTAGTCATTACAATTATATACATAAGCTTTAGATTGTATCCAGAAAGCAGAATCAAGCGACTAGCTCTTATATTACATATATCAGTGCAACAACACTACAAGTCCCAGCAGCCTCCCTATATACCGTATCCGCCTACACAGCAAACCAACACGGTTATAATACACATAAAGATGTCTGTGATGTAAAGTTCGTGACTATAATAGTTTGTAATCACCCTGAACTCTTATTTAATAAACAACTCATCGCAACAAACAAGCCACTTACCGATATAGCTCCGGCCACCTTCCGCCATCTTTACCTCGCTCGAATACAGGCCTTTGCGTCACTTCCCCGAGGGAGAGTCCGCCCAAACCTTTTCCACAAATCACCGGGGCAACTAGCCAGAAGTGACGCATGGCCCAATGACAACGAGGCCGCCCTGAACACTAGAGGACGATAGGCGGCTCGCTGCTTGTCTCCATTAGAGAGCCTATGTGTGTAGAGCGGGCTTCCCCTACTTCTGTCTTCCATGTTGTATACAGAAGCTGTGGGAACTGGCGGGGGTTTTACTTGCTGGGTACTTTCGTTATGATAGGGGATTTTTCAGCGTCATTAAAATCAGCTTTCATAAACGTCAAACTAAACATGGCCAGAATTATGGCCAATACTTTAATTGTGTGCGAGTGTTTCCGGGCACTCCTATTTTTTTCTCTCATGATAACGTTACCTCTCACTTCAGACACTCCACTGTCCTTTTTTATGTGTCTACTAAACAGTAATTACAGTTGTTGATGTTTGCGCTCTCAGTTTTTTATTTAACATCTATCTATCTATCTATCTATCTATCTATCTATCTATCTATCTATCTATCTATCTAATCTATTTTCTGATTTGTTAAGAAAAGGATTGAGGTTTAGTGTTCTAGGGTTTTACTTTTTCTTTTTGGGGCGGGGCGTATATTTTTATTTACTGTGCTAGGGCCTTTTTTTCCTTGACTTTTTTAGGGGGGGTGCTCAGTGGTGTACCCTTCGGGGCAGCGCATCACGCATACTTGTGCAATAAAGTAATGTGCATCAAAGCGCCACATATTTTCCCCCCATTATTATTTTCACCATTATTACCATAGCTACGTGGAATAATTACCTGCTGATTGGGAGAGCTTCTTGTCCCTGGACGCAGAAAGATTGCGTCCTGCAACAAGCATCTTTCCCGATCCGCAGGTAATCGTTCCATATACCATTACATGCGAGCAGCCACAGACAGATAAGTCCGTTGTGCCCATGCAGGTTAATGACAAGGCTGACCATGGCCGCATCTGTCCATGACTGACCACATGTAATCGCATCTGTACAGACCCACATGGGATTCCTGCCGCAAGAATCCGCAGACGCACATAAAAGCCTACTGTGCATGAGGCCTAAGAGCCCATTCACACCAGGGCGGTTACGGATCACCGTGCTCATCTCAAAACGGAGGTTTGTGGAGTTTCAGCGCTGAAACGCAATTAAAACCCATAGGTTCCATAGATAGCTGTATGGAAAACGCACTGCTCAGCAGGGCAAAAATAGTGCAGGGAGCAGTTTGGGCGGTGGCGGTTTAGTTTGCATGGACCCGTGTGATCGCATGAACGGTCCCCATAGCAATGTATGGGATCGTTCATGTCGGCGGATCTGTGCGGCCGAACCACCATGGTGTGAACAAGGTCTTAAAGGGGTTCTAAACCCTCCGGTTTTTTTGCCTATATCTACTGCTAGCAAGCTAGTAGAGAGGAGGAAAGTTCTGAGGGAGAGGCAGAACAGCTGCAAGGGAGGATTTTGTCCAGGGCCAGTTTACAGAGTACCTGTCCTAATCCATTTGGCTGCACTGCCCCAGATTTGAAGGCCCTGTCTGCAGAGCTCTGCAGTGTGGGCCTTTTTTTACTTATCTATTGCCGACAGCTCCACATGCATGAGGAAACACATAATTGTGCACCACACAGCTCAGTGAGAGCAGCACCTCAATGGCCTCTGCACTCCTCTTCCTCCTTGTTCCTCACTTTCTGCCACTTCCTTCCCTTCAGAGCATTTTTTTACTACATCTGGTCTAGCAGAGTGGGATACTAAAGTGGCTTGCAAAAGTATTCACCCTCCTTGACATACCCAACCCTGATCTGTACTTCTCAACAACGTTGTCCCTGACCTGTTTGGAGAGCTCCTTGGTCTTTATGGTGCTGCTTGCTTGGTGGTGCCCCTTGCTCAGTGGTGTTGCAGACTCTGGGGACTTTCAGTTGTATATATACTCAGATTATGTGACACTTAGATTGCACACATGTGGTAATGCAACAAAATAGGATAAATGCCAAGGGGGGTGAATACCTTTGTAAGCCACTGTACATATCCTTCACACTGGGTCAATCTTCTGGCAGCTGGAGATGATAGAGAAAGGGGCGCACTGCTGGAGTTGGTGGTGCCGCCACATGCATTGTCAGTCACCTGTACCCCCTCCTTCTCATTGGCCTCATCCCCTGGCACCTCTAAACCAGCAGCCCCCCTCCCAAACAACCCAGAGCATATGCAACATCCAAGGATAAATGTTGCCGTGCTGTGAAGAAGTGCACATGCCTAAAGTACAGGAGCCATACTGAATCAGAGCTGCTGGCATGACTCCATGCCATCTTAAGCCAGGCAAGGTTGTGTGTGACACTAGCACTAACCTGCTGTCTGCCCTTTGCCAGCACAAATTTACACATGTACCTTGCCTGGCACATGTCCTACACCAGGTGGTGCAGTGGTTCATCAACAAGTTCATGGATTCCAGGAGGTCCAGAAGGATTTCTGGCAACTTTGGGCTCTCAGACCCAGCGAGTGTGTGCCTGCCAAAAATGTAACGCCAACTCAAGCTACCTGCCAACCACCTCATCTATATAAAGCCCATGCTGTGGAACTATGGGATGATGGTGTTCTTTTCTCCACATCATTTTGGCACCTTTTGAAGAGAAAACCAAAATGGTTAGCCAAGGATTAGTGATACAGTCCCTCTTGTGTACACTCTGTGGCCTGATATACCGGGCACTGGAGGCAACGGCAGGAGGATGAAGAGGACTTGCTGCAGTCTCAGGGCCAGCAGAATACTTTGCCTACTGCCTCCATCCCTCTGAGGCAAAAGCACTAGGAAGAATAGGAGGAGGAGAGTCAGGGTGATGGCGATGTGGAGGAGGAAATGGGCAGGCTTCAAGGGGGACATTTCTGCCCTCTCAAACCCCAGGGGTTGTATGGGTGGGCTGAGATTTGGGTCAGGAAAGAGAGAGACCACAGTTCGGTGGACACCCTATTAGATCCCAAGTACAAGTGTAAAAAAGATAATCTGCTACCATCCCAGATCACCTCAAGGCTTGTCACCTGTTCTGATGCTCCAGCACTCAAAAATATTAAAACATTTTTTATTACATTAGAAAATAAGACTATTGCATTTCAGATAATATATTATAATGTTTATTCCAAGATAAAAGCTGTCTCATCTCTCCCTCTTATATTGCAGTCTAACCAAGTTGCTTACATACTGTCCAGTCACTAAACAATATTTGTGGTTACTGTTCCTCAAATATTACAATCTAAAGATTATTTCAAGATAAATTCTGCCTTGGCTCTCCGTCTTACATTGTAATCTTACCATTCTGGATTTACAAATATGTTTTATACCATAAAGAGGATTTAAATCAGTTAAAGAAGAACTCCAGCAAAAACATTTATTAACCCTTGCAGTGGAGCTACCCCCATACTGCAAGGGTTACCTGCTTGTTTTTGTCTAAGTTAAAAAAGTTATATTCACCCGATGCCCTGAGCCGGCTGCTTTTCAGGCCAGTCCTTCCAGCCTCTTTCTCTCTCCTCTGCACCTGTCTAAGGTCTTGTAAATTATCACGTCTATACAAAGTGTATAGACGCGAGGACGCTGAGAAATATTCCAGTGCTGCAGCGGAGGAGGAGACAGGCTGGAGGGAGAGCTGTGGCAGCTGGCCAGCTCGGAGCTTCGGGTGAGTATAAATTTATTTTAATGAAATCGTGTAAAAGATGAGCGCACTATAGAGGATGAGAAAGTTCAAAGAGCCAAAAGGAATGGTATATTGACAGGCCACAATTTAGGATTTGATGTTGTCACGATTTTGGTGTGCAGCCCTCTTTTACACAGATGGAGGTGCCCTGTGGTTGTAGAAATTGAGAAAAAAAAGAGAGAAGAGAGTGCCATAACCTAGTGCAGTAAGTTTTGTTACAATGACAAAATAAAATGAAACTATGTTGCACTTACAAAGATGCTTGTGGCAGATGGCCTATGATATGTGTGTGCTGGAAGTAGCTTCTTTTGTGCAATGCTGATACACAGAGGAATGCTTTGAAGCCCAGGGAAAGTACACTTGAAAGGAGTTTGTAACCTAATCCATGAGGGAGAAGAGCAGAGGAAACGACCATTCGCTGATCCTGTGAATCAGGATAAACTGTTTCTTTAAAAAGGATTAAATGTACTCTAGAGACCTAGTTCTATGGGTCTATCTTCCCAGGTGAGCACTGTCTAATTTTTGCATTCACTGGGTGGAGGTGAAGGTCTGTCAGGATTCTGTGGCAACTGCTTACTTGGAAGTTTGGATCTATCTAGTGGTGGACTATGCCCTACATTTGTTTGCACAATTAAAATTGTTGCACATTGGACTTTGTTTTCATCACTGTTTTCATCTTTTCATGTTTTGATGTGGTCTTTTGAATATAATTCTTAAAGCATATACTTATATATCTTATTGTTATATCACATATTTCACTGGATTGTATTTATTTATTCAGCTCGGCACATGATTGTTATACATGTGTATAAACACTGATCAGAAGGTCCGTTTAACCTCTTCCCGACATTAGGACGTTCCATGCAGTCCTGGAAAACATTGGCTTTGAAGACATTAGAACGGCATGGAACGTCCTAACTTCTATGCTCAGGCAGTCTTTAGTTCGGCTTACATGATGGCAGTGACAACCAGTCACTGCGATCAGTGATACATTGTAACAGCTAATGATTCAAATCACTGGTTGTCAGTGCTGGCTCTGCTTCTCTTTCTCCTCATTGTAATCTGAGGAAAGGGAAGTAGATCAGTGCTACAAGGTGTCCAAATAGTACAAGTGTCCCAAAAGTAATAATTTAAAAAATTATTTATTTAAAAAAAAAATTAAGCCCTTCATTGCTAATTACAGTTTTATAACTGTGATCACTCTGATCAGTACAATACTACTGTTCAGGATTATTGTGGGGGTTTTTTTTTATTTTTTCATTAATTGTACCCATTTTTCTTTCAATAATGTTATTATGTTTTAACAAGAACATACAATATAATATAAGGTGGTATAGCAGT